ACATTCAAAATCCTGGCTACCGCCATGGCTAGTGAGCTCGTCCTTGTCACTACATGTAGTACACGGTTTTTCTCTAGCCTCTACCAGGCTTCGGAAAGCGGCTGGATAGAGAAGAAATCGGTCTGAAAGACACATAATATAACATGGGAGTTGGTTCGCCAGACTGTACTCTCTAGTGGACCAACTCCTCTGGCATGCTGTCCTCTCTATTTGGCCAATTTCTACAATTTTCAGTCGCCTCGCGAAGCCTGGTACGAGGCTACAGTTTCACATCGAACAGAACCATTGTACAAGGTCGTTGACCTCAGTTAGGATGGGATCTTTTTTTTTCAGATATAGGAACCTTTGTCGTCTATATTAATGTCTTTGATACATGTTAAACTCTTGTAGCCTCTAGCAATATTCTGATTTTACAAAAAAGAAACGAAAATGTTCAACATGTTGATTCTGCACACCATTAGGACACCTAGTCATTATATATGACAGTCTTAAAAGAAAAGAAAGAAAATTCATATTTCTATGCAGACATAAATTTCATCAGTCGATGTAATTTTGCGTGTGTCAGTTTGCTACTTCGCCTTGAGTATCTGAACTCGAGTAACCCTTAAGCCTTTTTCTGAAAACTTTTACATGGTAGGGCTATACATGAAGAAGTATGTGCACGAATATATTTCCTTTTGTACATTTGATAAATAACAGGTGTGTCAGTTGTCACGAACTGAACTCTAGTAACCCTTTTTCCTCCAAACTTTTACATGACAGGGATATGCATAAAAAGTATGTTCATGAATAATGTTTTCTTTTGTACATTAGCTATTATAATAGGTGTGTCACTGACTGAACTCTAGTGACAATTTTTCTCCAAACCTTTTCATGTCGGTGATACGCATGATTAAGTGTCTACGTACAGGAAACGTCCTTAAGGGCGATGTTCGTCAAATATCGATGAACTCTATGACGACAATTAGCTTAATGAGTTATACCACAGTCACAGTACCTTTACCTGGAAAGGTTTTAGTAAGGGACAGATACAAACGTTTAGAGACCAGGATACGTACTTCGGTCTGTATACCTGCTTTTGTCCGTTAATTAATGGCGAGGTACGTCAATTATGGCTTAAGTCTTTGTCTATGACGACAACTAGCTTAATGATGTACATCATGCGTTTCCTTTACCTGGAAAAGTTTTGATAAGGGACAGATGCAAACTTTTGGAGACCAGGATACGTCCTTCGGCTTGTGTACACCTGCTTTTGTTCTTAATTAATGGCGATGTACGTCAATTATCGATGAAGTCTTTGTATATGACGACAATTAGTTTAATGACGTATACCATGAGTTTCCTTTACCTGGAAAAGTTTTACTAAGAGACAGATACAATCTTTCTGTGACCAGGATACGTCCTTCGGCTTGTATACCTGCTTTTGTCCAGTGAGTCATTTCATTGACGAAGCCAGACAAAAGCTTTAAACACCTTTCAAGGACATAGGGCATCGTGTTGACCTTCCGGTCATTTGGTTCCACAGTGCTTGACAGTTGCTTTTATTCATTTCAGATAAAATCCTATAGAACGCACCTTAATAATCTCTATTATGTTATTATATTAAGTGGCCACAGCAATTGAACAGTGGACACTACACTGCGTACAGGCATGTTACTAGCAAGTATCAATTAACCTGTTAATTACTAGTAGCCGTAATTATTAAAGGCTCGTTCCGGTCCCTTGAACAAGAATAGATGTAGTACGTCTGTGTAATATACTAGTAGCCAGATGCCGCCGCGCCGCGGGCCTGCGATTACGCCGAGGGGTGGTTATACTGGCAATACAGATACAGATACCATAGGGACATCTAGCAGTATATGGCAGTTACTTAAAAGAAAAGAAAGGTCATGTTTTTATGCAGACAGAAGTTTCATCTTCTACGTTTGATATAACATTGGGTGTGTCGGTTTGTCATTTCACCTTGAGTAGTTGATCTCGAATAACCCTTTCCTTCATATTTTACAACTGCATATACGTGTACATATGTAGTGTAGAGTAGCAAAAGTTGTCCCTCTCAACACTTGAAAATTGAAATATGTAAATATTTGTTATATGAATAAAGTTTTAAAAAACTTTTACATGGCAGGGATATACACGAAAAGGTATGTGCATGAATATGTCTCCTTTTGAACTTTTGATATATCAGAGGTGTGTCGGTTTTCTCAGTGTCTGAACTATAGTAACCATTTTTTCCTCCAAACGTTTATATGACAGGGATATACATGAAGAAGCGCATCAATGTGCACAAATATGTTTCCTTTTGTAAGTTTGATATATAACGGGTTTATCGTTTGCAATTGTCTCAGTATTATAAATGAACTCGAGTAACCATTTTCCTGCAAACGTTTGACATGAAGGGAACATGCATGAAGAAGTATATGCTTGAATATGTTTCCTTTTGTACGTTTGATATATAACAAGTGTGTCGGTGTGTCACTGACTGAACTCTAGTAACCCTTAACATGACGGGGAAGTATGTGATCAGGTGTGTCGGTTTTCTCAGTGATTGAACTCTAGAAACCATTTTTACTCCAAACTTTACATGGCGGGGATACGTATGATTAAGTGCCTACGTGGAGGAAACAGAGTCATTAATTTAAGGTGATGTACAGCAATCATCCATGAACTCTTTATCTGTGACGACAATCAGCTTAATGATGTACATCATGTGTTTCCTTTACCTGGAAAAGCTTCAGTAAGGGACAGATACAAACTTTTAGAGACCAGGATACGTCCTTCGGTCTTTTCACCTGCTTTTGTCCTTAATCAATGGCGATGTACGTCAATTATCGATAAAGTTTTTGTCTATGACGAAAATTAGT